TGGTCCTGGAAGGCAGGAAGGGGAGCTCAGAGGGGCTCTTGGCAGAGTCAGCATGAAAGGGATGGGGTGCTTGTGGGGATACCAGAGAGGAGACAGAAGCAGACCTCTATATTCCATGCTCTGTTTTCTTCCCGTCATTTAAAAGAAAATGAATTGAAAACAAGCAGGACAACGTGTGAACCGTGGTCAAAGCTAGATGTAGGGTACAGGGGTGTCTATCGTAGAGAGCTTTTGTATTTTTTCTATATTTAAATTCTTTTTCTTTTCTGTTTTTAAACTTTACTTATTCAGTTATTTTAATTTGACCAGAGAGGGACAGAGAGAGAGAGAGAGAGGAAGAGAGAGAGAAAATGAGAAAGCAAGCCGCCAGGTTCGGTACTTGAACTGCAGTCAGCCATGTTGTAACCCAGTACCCTTAACCACCATGGCACCTGCCAACCCTTCTGTGTTTAAATTCTTAAAATATCCAGGTTTGGGGGCCAGCGGATGGCGTGGCGGTTAAGACACTGGGTTCCCACATGGCTGACCATGGTTCGAGTCCCAGACCTGGCGGTTTGCTTTTTCACTTTCTCTCTTTCTCTGTCTCTCTCTCTGGTGAGTACACGTGCCCTATAGCAAATTTAAAAAACGATAATGATAAATAAAAAATTCTTTAAAAAAATACTAGTTTGGGGCTGGGCACCATCGTTACAGTTCATGATTAGGTAGAGAGAGGCGGTTTCTGGGAGCTGAGGAGATGGCCGTGGTCTGGGACCCAGTCTTGGAGCTGTCCAAGTTCTTTCTCCTTGCTGCCTCCTCCCAGGTCTCAGTTTCCTGCCTTCCTGGGTTGTGGGAGAGGCTGAGAGGCCCCGTGCTGAGGGCGAAGCTAATTCATTAGTGACGCCTCAACAAGAACCGGGCGCCTGCGGTGACAGCATGATTCACAATGATGATTGCCCCGCTGCCAGCCTGCGTGGGCCCGGAACGCCAGCACATTCTACCTCTACCCACTGAGAGGAGCCTGGTGGGAGGCGAAGGTACAGGATCTACCGAGTGCAAGGAAAAACTCGGAGAAAGAGCAGGGCCGATCCTCCATGGCCCCAGGAAGTGGTGCCAGGTTGGCGCTGGAGGGTCACTCCTGTGGCTACTGCCAGTGCAGACAGAGCCCAGGAGGGCCGCCTGGGGCTGGAGGACCTGGCCCGTGCATGTGTGGTGGGTGGCTGGGAGCTTCCTCATCCACAACAAATGTTCTCCTCCTGAGCCAGCCTGGGAGGGTGTGTGTGGGGGAGGCTTGCCCATCAGCCTGGCTTGGGGTTTCCCCAGCACTCTGGCTTTTGAGACACCCATGTCTTCCACGAAGTCCCCCAGATGAGTAGCAGGGAGAAAGTTGGATTGGGGCTTAATGGGCCTGGGGGAGGAGCTTGAGCCTCTCTGGCTGGAGCTGAGAATCCTTGTCCATCCCAGGACTGGGGTCTGGGCTCTGCTTTTTCTCTGCCTGGGTACCCTCCTTTGGCTTGGAGTCCTGCCTTCATCTTGTTAGATTCTCCGGGGGGGGTTGCTTTTGGGGTGTGCCTATTGTTTCTGTTTTGTCCCCAGAGAAACAGTGTTTTGTATTCTGTACCCTGCCTTTGTGTCCCTCATTACCTGTTCACCCCAAGATACTCCTCGCCCAGTCACGACTGTTGTTGTTCTGCCCTTTCCTTCTTTTATTCAACAAATATGTATTGAGTATCTGAGCAAGTCAGAAGGAAAAGAGGATGTGGGGGCCAGCAGGTGGCATGGTGGTTAAGGCACTGGACACTCCCACATGGCCGACCAGGGTTCGAGTCCTGAATCTGGTGGCTTGCTTTCTCACTTCCTCTCTCTCACCCTCTGTCTCTCTCTGGTCAAATTAAAATATAAATGAATGAATAAATAAAAGAAAATAAATAATTATTTTTAAAAAAAGAAAAAGAGAGGATGTGCTGAATATGTTTTTAAAGAATTATTTTATTTAACTTTATTTATTTAAATTTGACCAGAGAGGCACAGAGAGAGAGAAAGTGAGAAAGCAAGCCGCCTGGTCTGGGACTCGAACCACAGTCAGACATGTGGGAGTCCAGCATCCTCAACCACTACGCCATCTACCGGCCCTGAATATTTTTGTTTTTTACTTACATTTAATCACATATATCTCTACAGTGTACACCATTTCTTTTCCAGCACAAATCCCACGTGTATCAGTCAAAACAAATATATTACTATATACATTATCGTCAGCAAATAGCTTCTCGTTTTTCCGTCAATTAAACATACTCTTACTTTTTCTCTTTTTATTTATTTATTTATATGTTTCTTTTATGTGAGATTCAGAACAGGCATAAACTGAGCCATGATAATAGCTGCCTCTGGGAGGCAGGGATTGACTGGAAGGTGAGGGAATCTGGGGGTGACAGAAATATGACATGAGCCTGTACATCCCATTGTGCAGTTCTGTTCTGTGCATTCCACTATACACATTTGCCTCCATTTAAAAAATAAATTGATTCATTTAAAATAATTATTTATTTTTAAAATTTTAAAATTATTATTATTATTTAAAATTTGACCCGAGAGAGACGGAGGAGGAGAGAGAAAGGGAAAGTGAGAAAACAAGCCACCAGGTTCAGTCAGGAATGTGGGAGTTCTGGCACCTTAACCACCATGCCACCGGCCAACCCCACACCTTTATTTATTTACCTGGTGTTTTTAACAATTATTTATTTATTTAATTCCATTTATTATTTTTTAATTTGACCAGAGAAAGAGAGAAAAAAAAGGAGAAGGAGAAAGCAAGCCCCTGGATCTGGGACTCGAACTGCCATGTGGGACTCCAACACCATTAACCACCATTATTTATTTATCTATTTACTTGCTGTCATTTGCAAGCTACCAGTTTGAGACTTGAACTGCAGTCAGTCATGTGGGAATCCAGACCCTTAACCACCATGCCACCTGCTGGTCCTGCGTCCATTTTTTTACATGTTAAAAATTTCCTTGACTGTCTACCATGCACCTGACCTGCCTGTCCACATAGCCTGTACGCTGTGGGTGTGGTTCTTGTCCTTGGGTTGAGTGGCAACTGCTCTCAAATCCTCCCTTGCAGTGGGGATGGCAGTCTATCCATTCAGCCAGTTACAGGGGTCACACCAGCCAGGGTCCAAAGAAGGCAGGTTAGGAGACTTTGCGTCTGCCCTGGACTCCCTGTCACCTCTGTTCTGCGTGACCTTACTAGCAGGTTGCCTAATCCCTGTGGAACCACTGCCCTCATCTTTCCTATGGGATTAATAATACTTTCCTAGAGTTTCATCATGCCAGCCAGAGGCTCTGTCCTGAGAAGATTCACTACCAGAGGTGGAGCGATTCATTATTGTTTGCTTGTTTTGGTGCAGGCTCTCAAAACACACCGCCCAACTTCAAAGGTAAGCGGCCCACCAGGTGGGTGACCTGAGCAAGTCACCCAGGTCAAGTCAAATCTCTGAGCTCAGTTTCTCCATCTGTAAGGCTGGGGGATGTGAGGGTGTACCTCATAGGCTGCCCTAAGGATCCAGCGCAACCGGCTGCTGGCGCTGCCCGCAGATTTCGCGCAGCTGCAGAGCCTGAGCTGCCTGTGGATCGAGGGCAACTTCTCAGGCATAGCCTAACCCTAACCCTGGCATATGGTAGGTTCTCAGTAAAGAGAGGAGAGGGCGTGTCTGCCAGGAGCTCTGGCAGGAGGGCTGGGAATAAGAGAAGGGGGAAAGACGAGGCAAATGCGCAACATTCAGAGGGAGGGTGGTCACCGCTGGTGGCGCTCAAAGTCTTCACATGTCCCAGTCCTCTGTCCACCGCAGACAGCCGCACCCATCTGTTCTGGGTCCCCGCAGAGGACCCTGCAAAGACCAAAGTGTCAGAATTTCGAGTTACTATCCCGATGTAACCCAGCAGAGTATCTGATCGCACACCGCTGGACGTGAACGGTTGGCAGTGACTGTGCCCCTTGGCCTCGTTTCGCGAGCCACTTGTTCAGAATCGTGGGTCCCATGCCAGTGTTTCCTTCGTTCTCGGTTTCTTCTTGGGCCCGTGGCTCCGAGGCGCACACAACCGCATTCCCAACTGCTCGCAGTGACTGAAGGTGTGCAGTCGGCCTGGAATGTCGGGTCTCGGTGCCAGCACAATGCCAGGTTTGCGGGCAAGGGACCTTGGGTTGGCGCTTGCTCCCGGGAGGGTGCGGTGGGCCGACGAGGGGCGGGCCCGGGCGCCCAGACCCCGCTAGGGTAGCGTATTGTCCCGCCC